AACGGCATCCTCACATCAGCTCAGCCACCTCCATCAGCAGCACAGGCTGTTGGGAGCTAATCCCAATGCTCTGCTTTGCTCACAGGTGGCAAAATGCTTCTGGGTCACAGTGCAGGAGCCCAGCATCCGCCAGCAGGCAGGGAAGGAAGGCAAAGCATCCTAGTGGTCACCAAGTTTGGGGCCACATCCTCAAATTCCTGCACAGAACTGCTGGGTTGGCTGAGATTTAGTAGTCAGATCAGGAGAGAGGGGTTATCTGCTGTTCTCCAAACCAGCATCTCTAGCCAGGTTATCCTTCCATGCTCATCCAAGACAGTGGCATCAATGAAGACAGGAATGACACTGCACTGGGGTCATTATCTCTAGGGAGATTCCCTAGAAGAGGCACAAGAAATAGGAAATGGAAGCCTAGGAAAATCAAACATGGCATATTTTACCCAACATTTGCCCAGAATGTTCACTAAAGTGGTGTCTGAGGGAAGAGGCAGCAGGGAGATGGACATCTGCATCCCCCAAGTCAAACCAAGCACAGAGCCAGCAAGAAAAAAGGTTCTTTGCATCCCTCTTCCTCCCCATGCACCTGTACAGGGTTAAGCATATTCAAACCCGCTGTCTTATCATGCATTATGCAAGGGCACGACCCAGCAGTGAGGGTTCCATCACACAGCTGCTGTCCAAGGAGAATGCCTACATACTGATTCCTCCCTACAGGAGAAGGCAGACTGGAAAGGAAAAAAAGGTCTTTACAGGAAAGAGATGAGCATAGTAGATTCCTCACTTGTAATTCTATCAGAGATGATTAAATCTGCTACCCCTAAATAAGGTCATTTTTCTGTCTTTTTTTTTTCCTCTAGCCTTTCCCCTCCTTTGTCTGCTTCCTCTGGGCAGGCACCAGCATCAGGCTTCTCCATGCATCATCTGAATCTCTTTTCCTCTCAGCAAAGCAGACTTCCCAAAAATAGACAAAGGTGTGATTTCAAGCCACTGAAGAAGGTTTTCCCTTTCGAACCAGATTTATTTCAGTTGATTTTATATCATAATTTCAAATGAAACTGAAAAAGGAACGTGGCACACATTCACTTTCCAAACAGCCTTTGTCTCATTCATTTAATCACTGGCCCAATCACAAAGGCACAGCAGCAGAACGTGTGCACAACTCAGCTCCTCTGGTGTAAAATCCAGCAGTTTGGTGTAAAACCACTGCATCTCTACATAGAATGACAGCTTCTCAGCTTCCCAAATCAACATTTCTTCTCCTTACGTAACTCCTGCTCACAGACCACCTTCCTCCTACAAAGCCACACAGTGGGAATAGGTATCAAAAGCCAAAAGTCACACCAGCTAGAAGGCAGCCTGTAGGGTGGTGATGCACTGGAACAGGCTGCCCAAGGAGGCTGTGGATGCCCCATCCCTGCAGGCATTCAAGGCCAGGCTGGATGTGGCTCTGGGCAGCCTGGGCTGCTGGTTGGTGACCTGCACACAGCAGGGGGTTGGAACTGGATGAGCACTGTGGTCCTTTGCAACCCAGGCCATTCTATGATTCTGTGATAATAAATGCAACTGAAGGGGCTCCATCCCTCCAAGCTCTGCTCTTCTTGAACAGCAGACAGAGATATCTGGTTACCAAAGGTAATGTGGTCACTGTTCTGACAGTCCTTCCCCCTCCTGGCTGCTACACTCCAGCTAAAGCAATAGACTCTGTGCCTTTTTAACACTACAACAAGCATGGAAGAGATGCTCTGGGAAGGCAAGTGGCCTGCAGCATGGTTCCTCCATTAGAATGTAGTCGGCACAGGGAGAAGATGGAGCAGCTTTGTCCTATGGACATATCAAAAATAGCTGACCTGCTTGCAGGCACTGCTGAGGTTGTCGTGATGTGACTGACCCGCTTTTTCCATGCTTGAAGGTAGCTTTAAAGATGTCTCGTGATGCCACAGCAGTCCTTTCGTGGCACTTCACAACGTGAGGTGGCTTACTAAATTTTGGCAGAAAGCGAGCATAGGAAATGTTGACCTTTGAACGCACAGCATGTGATGTCAGGAAGAAGGCTTTGACTCAGAGCAGTCAATATGTCTGCTCACAGCTAGACAGGAGAGCCACAAACATCACAAACAGAAATACCAGGTGCCTGATGAGCAGAGGAGCTAACAGGTCTATCGAGAGCAGCATCTCCTTCTGTGCACGCCATCCTCCTCTCAATAAAGAACACAAACTGAGTGCTCCCATACCCGGAGCTGGGGGTTCCAAAGTGGGGTTCAACGCCAAGCTCAAGGACACAGCAAGGATAGCCAGCAGCACATGGAGGGGGAGGGAAGCAATGCAGGAGGAGAGGAAGGGGACGGGGAGGCAAATAAATAAGGACAATGCACAATTTATGAAGACAAGAAGGTAGTAAGTGCTATTCACCCAGAGTGTAAATTGGTATTGATGTCACAACACAGCCCAGCCAAAAAATAATGATGATGATAATTTAGGGCTTGTGCTATATCTCACTCAAAGCCACGGTCCCATCCAACAGCAACTCCCACCCTGCCGCCTTCTTCCCCTTCTCTGTTCATTGGTGTCCTCCTAAATCAAATACACTCAATGCTGATTTGATTAGATTCCCTTCTTTTATTTATCATCCATCCCTCACTCTTCCACTCTCAAGTTCTCAGTGGGCATCTTGCTCATTTTCTGGCACCAGGCAGTGCTTGGAGGAACAAGCCCATCTCCAGAGGAGTTACAATCCTCAGGCCGGTCAGGATTCGTGCATCCTTCCCAACCCTCATCTGTCATCCTTTAATCTCGCCTGTTTTATGCTCCAGATCCCGGCTACCCAGTCCTGACTTCCCAGCTTTATAGCCCTGACTTACTTCCCTCCTGTAACATTTTACTGCTCGGTTATCGGCCCTGAGGGGCCTCATTTACACAAGCGCTGTTTTCGCTATAGTTAAGACTAATTCACTGGGCTGCAGTTGGCTCTTGCATCCCGCATTCAGCTCAGCTCCCTGTCTCCTCTCTCCTGCAGGGAGGCAAAGGATTTTCTAACGGATGGGACATTTATTTTCTTTCCTAATTTTTTTTTATAATTACGGTTATTAATCCCCTTTTGGGTGTTCCAAAGCCTGAACTGAATTCTCCCCCTGTGCCTGCTGCGATTCTGCCTGTTTCCCTTTGGTGCACGCGTGCCCTCTGCGTAAGGTCTGTGGGACCTTGAGAAGGGAGACTTGCTCAGGGATCCACTCTTTCCATCCAGCTGTAAAAGGAGTGCAGCCCTGGGAAGGCCATGACTGCACTCACTGCTCCAGCTGGGCCTGCAGTTTATTCTGCTTACAGCCCAGCTTTCCTACAAAGCACAGCACAGTGTCCTTCCCTCACGCTGACCCCCCCCAGAGCCACAGCATCACCTACAGAACAACAGGAGCCAACCAGGGCCACCTGCACAGCCTCCCTGTGCCCAGACCAAGCAGGACCAACAGGCAACGTGCAATGCCCAAACTGAATCCATTCGACGGCCCAAGCAAACAAGAGGGAAATTCCAATTGCAGAATCCCATCAGAACCTCCCCCGTGCAGTGAATCTGCCCAGTTCTGTTTCAGGGAGCTATGTAGCATCAGCTTAATTCCGGATAGCACGGTAACAATGTCAACTCCGTGCAAGAGAAAATGTGAATTTGTAAATAATGCCATCCTTTGCTGTCCGCCCTGACGGGACCAAAAGCTTATTGCTAACATTTTTTTTTAAATCAGATTTCCCAACCTATTGTAAGAGATAAATAGATATTATCCCTATTTTATTGACAGATAAACTGTGGCACGGAGGAATTAAATGAGTTGCCTAAGGTCAGACAATGAACAGTTTAGAGACTGGATCAATGGAGTCATTCTTTTCTTCTCATTTCGGTGTTTCTGGACGGCCAACCCTGCAGGGCTTTGGCACACACTTGCAAATCATTTTCTGAAACCACCAATATTGGCATAACTCCGTTCCTATGGATGCCACGGACAGAATCACAGCGTCTTATTATCTTAAATGGCAACAAAGCAAAAGCAGCACCAAGTGCAGGTTAGAATCTCACCCAAAGGCAGAATCGATAGATCTCCAGAGGACCTGGCAATATTAAAAAAGATGGGCTTCTGGCTACTGTGGGATTGCACATAAATAACAATATTCCACAGCCACAGTTTCTCTATTTATTTCACTTAAATTAGTTTCCTTGGCAAAAATGACCACAAACAGATCCTTACCCCTTCTTTTCTTTCAACCACGTATGCATAAACTCATGCAAAAATACCCCTTTTTAATAAACAGGGATGTACCTGCATACACCCCACGTTCACATGACCCTAAAGAAATGGGATTATACTCCTTAGAGGCCTCCAGCTACGAGACTCTGAAATGGGAGCCCAAATAACACACGCTCATCTCTCCAGGTTCTGAAAGCAGCTTTTAGATGGTACGTTCAGCAGCTGGTAAACTCTACGCAGACATAAGCAAAGCATAATAAGACATAATAAGACATAAGCAACATGTGTTATGTCCTGTACACCACCAGATCCCAGAACAACACGTTCAGTGCAGGTGGCAGCACTTGGCCACCATGCTTCTCTGTAACTTCCATTCCCCAACTCCTTCCAGTTCACGTGTCATAGAAGTGGGGACTGCACATGTGCTTGTCTTGTAGCACACTGATGATACATTCAAATCTTTTAAATGTGTGTTCAGACATAGGAAAGAGTAGGTCAACACCTAGTGTGGTTAATGAGTGTCTCCAGCAAGAAGACTCCATAAGGAAGCACTCAAAGGACAGCAGATATGCTGGAGAAAACATCCCAGGTGGTTTTCAGGCCTGTGGACGTGGTTCTGTGGACTTAAGAGTGGTGAAAAAGCACTTCCTACAAGCTTAGCAATCCCTCCTTGTCCCCTGAATTATTTGGAGAACAAAGCACCCAACGTTCCAGCATTCCTATCTCCAGAGAGAGCATCCGAACCACAAGTGAGAAAGAAGTGTCACATACCTCCCTTGTGCTGGTGATCCCAATGATCAGTGTTTTATAGGAGTTGTGCTCTTGCACGTTTTTGGAGCTCCAGACTGCAGCTCACAGCGATGGCACACCTGGAAAATAAAGGAAAAACCTCAGGAAAGACTGCACTTCAGAGGCAGCCACTGAAGAGCAGTTATTAAATGGGAAGATGTGGAAATGGCCTTCTGGTGAGCTGCTAGTGCTGTGGACTTGAGCAGCTGCTGCTGTTGCTCCAGTGTCAAGGTAGGAGATGATGATAGAGGATGGGGTGAAAGGCGAAAGGAAGGACAGGAGGACCAAGAGGAGCATTCCTTTGCACATCTCTTCTTTTGCCCTTCTTGGATAAGCACAACTCCCCACCTTGCACCACACCTCAGAGTACATCAGCAGGCTGAAAACAGGGATTTTTCACAGAACTGAGGCAGAGACTGCAGGAACTGGAGGCAGATCTGCTCCAAGATTCATCCACCCTGGCACCCCCCCAAAAAACAACCCCAAATCTACAGAAAGCAGCTTTTCCTTCCTGATAAACTTTCATCCAGAGGTCCTTGCGATTGGAACAGCGATTCTCACTGGCTGCAATTAGATGGAGGCCATTGCAGCTCCCTCCCATGGGACCTGACAACCAGCACAGCTATGCCCTAATTTGAAACCCTCTCACCACCCCATTCTCTACTAACAACGCTGCTACCAAATTTATGCCATTTTTCCTAGCAAGACTGAGACTATTTCCTCACACTGCACAGGCTCCAAGGGGGTTAAAAGCCATCTTGCTCTGGATACACTCTGCACGACTCTTAATTTTTTCAAGCACTGCGTTTCAAGCCATAAACTCAGACCGTTATTTACTTTCTTGAAGATGACACGGAGCCAGCTTCTCCCTGTCTCTCCCTCTGTCTGCTCTGCTGCCTTTTGGAGGCATCCTTTGGTACTGCTGCCTGGCTCAGGGACTTCCCAAGTCAGTGCCTGGATGGCAAATTGCTGCCAAGCAATGGCCCAGGAGAGGGAAGCAGGGAAGCTCTGTTTCCTTGCTCTGGGGGGGGAGGCAATGGGCAGAGGGGGCACAGGGGAACAGAACAAACTTGTTCTCAGAGCAGCATGGCGCCCAGGCCAGCAGGTCTCTTTTATCCTGTTTCAGTTCACTAAAGCGTCAATTAACTCCACATTAATTATTAAATCAGAACAATGCGTCTCTGGGTTCCGACAGCTAAATTCTGTTACTGCTGTTTCTTAGGGGAGCTCGGCTAGCCTTACAACTTAGGACATAAATATCTTTCTTCAAGGAGTTTCTGGGTTGTTGTTTTTATTCTCCTCTCTGTGGGTGCATTTTTAATCACAATCCCTTACCCGTGCATGGAGGGAAGCATTTCAGAGCCTGCTGCACCTCAAAAACATCACACCTAACACACACAGCTCTTCCAGGCTCTGAAAGAGCCACGAGAGTTCCTCCACCCTGCAAGCATTTGCACAGCCCCTCTGGGAGGGGCTGCTTCCTCCTAAAACACTGCAGGGCATCCAGGTACACCATGCTATTTCATTCTACTGCTGCTTCTCACCCTTCCCCTCTGTTGATGCTCCACTTAATTCTACCAATTAAGGCCAGTCTGGAAATATTTCTTCTTCTCCCACTGCTGCTAGACACACGCTCTTACTGTGTGCTCTTCTGCTCCCATAGGATGGTGTTCACCTCCAAGCAGACAGCCCTCCCCACACATACCCTGCTCAGCCCATCACTATCCCTTTTCTTGCCCCAGTCATTTTGGTGGCAAATGGAAAAGGTCTCCTGAAGGACACCTTGCTGGAAGGTCTTCTCTCTGCCATCCACTCATGAAGCTCTACGACTTCCTAAGGTATGAATGGCTCCAGCGCTGCAAAATGCTTTTATTTCTTATGTGAATTTAATGCCTTTGGGAAAGAGCCAACCTAATAGAACTGAATGTAAAAGCTTTATAGGTACCAAACGGGCGCAGCAAAGTCTGACAGAATATCTGTACACTGTCTTAACTGGAAGGAAAAAGCCCTGGGGGTCAGAGGGTCTTCATTTCCCAAGCAAGGAAGACACCAGCTTTATGGACAAAGAGAGAAGCTTCTCCCTCTCCTCCCATCCTCATCTTCCTCTAGCAATTCTCTCCCTTTCTTTCCCTCATTGAGAGTTTTTGCTTCACTACTCACTGTGTGCAGAATGCAGTAATGTGATTAGAAGCTCCTGGCTGGTTGGTCAGCCATCATTTTCATCTCTCTGCACTGCTTGGGTTTCTTTTCCTACCCGAACTGTGGGAGCTGGCACAGCTTCGTGCCTGACCTGCAGTGCCACTGAATACGTGAGATTTGTTTTGCCTTTGTTGGAAATGACTGCAATATTTGCTGTAGCAGACTGACTGTCAGCTCATGTGTCCCTCAGTGGTGCCACCGACCGCAGCCCTCCAGTTCTCTTGGCAGAAACGGTGAGGGGGAAGAAAAACCTAAAACAAACACATTTGTCTTAGATAAGCTGCTCGCACACTTGTTTTTCAAAAACAGAACGGTCTAGACAGGACCAGCAGCACAAATTTACTTTTCATCTTGCAAATGTTTCAAGACGCTCTGCACAATGTTGCCTGCATGACTTGCCTGGGAGCGGAGCATCGGCGCACACTGTGCTCAGAGCATTCCTGCTCTTGCACTTCCCAGGTGTGAGGTCGTCCTCTGAGCTGGGAACACAACAACCCGCTCAGAGTGTGGGAAGGGTGGATGTCTGGAGTGTGTGTGGCACAACCGGCCTCAAAAGTGAGGTGCTGGGCAGTGCTGCAACGAGCACAAATTCAGCCCCTTCTGCTCCATGCTCCCCTGTGTGCCCCTTTGGCGAGTTGAGCACTGGCTGATGAAAATCAAGCTCTTCATCCCCTGTGCTGCAGCCCCATGTTTGCAAAATCCGCCTTTCAAAGAGTTGTTAAGATCTGGGATGAAAGCTGCTATTATGCCTTACAGTTAATTAGGTAATCATTATTATTTATTATCACGGGAGTGTCTGGAGAAATGGTATGAAAGCAGAATAGCAAGCTTGACCTTCTGTACTCACATCTCGATCTGGTTGGGTATACAGACATTATTTATCACACGTTCCTTTGCTACCTGGAAAGTTCCTCACGAGAGGAGTCTGTTTGTTCTGCAAGAAGTTTTGCAACAATCCAGAATGCCACAGCACAAATTCCGTGACGGCGTATTACCATCATCAATAATAATTATCAGAAATCATGATAATTACCAGCAAAGCTGCCTGCTGCAGATAGCAACATCCATCTCAGAAGGACAGCTGTGTATACTGAGGCTTGTCTGCTTCAGAGGAGTCCACCCGTTCACTCTGGAAGGTGGAAAACGTCCAATGCAGGGCTCTGTGATGCCCCTGCTTACAGCAGATTTATGTCAGTGCAGCTCCTCTGACAGCAGCAGGATTGCTCTTCTGCACCAGGATCAGGGCCAGCTTCTCTGCAGGGGAAAAGAGAAAAGAAGGAAGCTGAACTGTCTGCATTTGTGTCTATGCCTCACACTGTGCCCTGTTTAAAGCAAGGCAGCAGAGGGATGCTTCTCCCTTCCACCAGCAGGGCCTGATGAGGGCAGTAAGAATTGCTCATGGCTACATCCTTCATGTGGGCATCTCACAGCCCAGACACTTCTCAGTTGAACACTCCTTCCTGTCAGGCAGGTAGGGATGCTGTCCCCATGCTTCAGGTGCACAGAGGCCACATGGAACAGCTGGAGAAGCTGGGAATACAGTTAAGAAAGCCCAGCTTCATAGGCCCTCAGTACAGCTTGCAGATGGCACCCATAAACCACAGCAGTGAGGCAAGTCAGGCTGGTCATTTTGATGAATGAGTTCACACACAGCCCCTAAGCTCAGCTTAGCAGCACCAAGTACAAAAGGGAGCCTGATCCAGAACTGCCCAGTGACCATTCTATGGGCTTCACCCCCAGCACATGCCAGCAGAGCCCACCAGAATCGGACCCAGGGGAGCAAGGAGGAGGCCCTGCTGTCTTACCCTGGACCAGGAATCCATTCTCAGAGGATTAATTATCTGTACTGTTAAGCAAACAAGGGCTGAGCAGGGCTGCTCCTAATCGAAAACAGCCTGCTTGTTTATTTCTATCATTTTTTTTTCCTCCCATTGTCTATTTTGATGCTTGTAAAAAAGCAAAGCTGGGAGCTGCGTGCCCACGGTCTCCTTGCAGCAGCCTGCAAAGCCCCCATCAGCCAGGAAGGCACAGCAGAGACGTTGTGAGCTCCCAGGTCTCTCCAGTGCAAGGACTGCATGGCCAGACAGGTTACAGGGGAGAGTTATTAAAACCAGCTGAACTTGAGCAATACTGGGCAGCTTGTAATATTATTTTTGTTAATGTAGCAGCTTATAGGCCCCAGTTTTTCTTTTATTTTTTTGGCATAGGACCGACCACATACCTAACGCCTGAACAAAAGTGGGAATACTGGAGGATTAGGAATACCTAAATTTATGGCAGGATTAGCTGGAGTTTTATCCTGCCTGACAAAGAACTAAAAAGCACAATCAAGAAGACATTCCAACCCCATTATCTCCTAACCCTGCTGTGAAGAATGCAGAAAGATCACACCCAAAAAAAAGAGTTTATGACATCCTCTGGAGGTATCTCGGTCTGTGACCAGAAATCAGCACGTTAGTTGAATAATCCTACACAAAAACAGTAATAATTCTGTAAGAATTAGACAAAAAAAAAAATAAATTATTTCTTCTCTTGCTTACATCACTTCTGCATAAAACAAAGCTAATGAAAAGAGAACCAAGCCCAAAGAAAATATTTGGTTAGATCTCATTCCTCTGCCAAAGAAATTTACTGCTGAGCTTAATGGAGTAGGACCAGCACCAGAAATACCTGCGTCCTCCACGCAGCCCTATCACTCAGGGCTCTGTTTGGATGTTGGCTGAGAAATCAGCACGGCTGTGACCAGAACAAACCATCCAGGTGTTAATCCAGCACACCTTTCCTAGAGCATGCTTCAACGTCCCTGTTCCTGAGCAGGGCCATCAGCTGCATGCACCTCTTGGAGCTCCGGGGGTCTGGTGGCTCAGGGCACAGGGACAGAAGTTGGGCTGGAGCCAGGCGAGAACAAGGGACAGAGCCAGGGGAAGGGGGAAGATGGGGAAGAACTGGGAGCTGATTTTTATATGGGAAGGTTCTCAGCACTGCTGCAAGCCACACACATGCAGTTACAAAGCATTTTCTCTTTAGAATTCCATCTTTTTGAGTCTTCGCTCCTACGCTGGTCTGGACGTTTTAAACACACAGATCTTGCAATCCAGAGGAATGGGGTGGGGGGGAGAAGGGAGGGAGGCACCAACAGTGCTATTTTTCAGCAGTAAACACTCGCTCACTGCAAGCCTGTGTAAAAACATTTGAGAAGCACCACCGGAGCAGAATAAAGCCTTCCTCCCCTCCCCAGGCCCAAAGCTTGGCTGGGGCAGCTCCAGCTCAGCCCACCTCCCAGCTCAGCCCACCCCCCAGCTCTGCCCATGGCTGCTGGGGCAGCAGTGGGACCCCCAAGGGAGGCCGCCCACCCACCACAGCTGGCAGCCAAAGGCACAGCATGGAGCCAGCAGCAGCCCCAGATAGCACAGGAATGGGGGCAGCTTCCTGGAAAGAGCCCCAGGGATGGTGGGGAATGATGGGGAGTTTTTGCCATCTCACCCCCCCCATTTCTCTTCTCAGCAAACCTGCACGGTCCTTCTTTTGTGATGAGAGAGAGACAGTGGTGGAAGATGCTAGGGGAGCTCATTCCTCCTTGATATTTAAGGAGATAAAGTTGATTTCTTGCTATCTTTTTGTTTTTATGACTCCTCCAAAATGGTTGAAAACGTTTAACAGTCTAGCAGTGACATAATGAGAGGAAAGGTTTCACATGGAGTGTTGATAATGGCTGAAGAACTGTGCTCCAGCAGGTGAAATGTGACAATTACTCCTTATTTTCCAAACCAAAAGCAGAGCTGGGTGGTTCAATGCTACATGAGGCTTAGACATGCACAAAGAAGGAGAAACGCTGTGTATGTGAACCCTGAACTAGAAAGTTTACCATGGTCAAGACAATTCTGCACTATAAACCATACCCCAACCTCCAGATCTTTTGATACAGGCTGCTTTCACCAAATTGCAACACTAGTGAGAAGAGATGAGCTGTGCTGGAGACATCTTTATCATCTGAAATCTCTCGCCACCAGCACCCAAGCTGAACAATTACACTCTTAATAACAACTTCAATAATTCAATATATAGAAACTGAGCATTAATGGTTGCTCATCCCAACCTGCACGTTGCTGCATTCTGCCTCTTGCTGGTGTTCTGTAATTTATATGATCACAGAATTCCTCTGCTGACACCGATGGAGGCAGGAATTCACTCTGTGATACGGCCTGCAAGAAAGCATTCAGATGCTTCAGCTTTTAAATATGCCACAGATGGAAAGTATTGTTGGTGGTGTGTTAACAGAAACTCTCTGCTGCCTCCTTCCTGAGTGCTGGCCACTGCTGGCATGGCAGCACTCAGATAAGAGCTGAAAATTACAGGTTTGGATGATTAACTCCATTTCACCCTCAGATGTTCTATACTGTAATGATTGAAGAAGAGACTGCTGTGATCACTGGGTCAGTGCTCCATGGTTTTACTTAGCTTGCATCTGCCTCTTGAAAAAGTTGGGCTTTGCAAGGTAGACCATGTGTCTGTGTTGTGACAGCATGAGCAGCATAAAGGACTCGGCTCTGGGAAATCATGAGCACAAGGACCATGAGAGGAAGCCTGAGAGGAAAAGGATTTAGCAAGTAATAAAGATGGGCATGTGCCCACACCCCAGTGATTCCAGTGGAGACCACTCACCTGAGTTAAAGGGCAGCTTTCCCCTTTGCTGTTGCTCCTTGTTTCAGCTGAAAGGAGGTTAGGAGGCATTGGGTTAGTGCACGTTTTCATAGCCACAGTGGGCTTAGCTGTGGGAGTTCCTTGTTTATTAGCTGCGTATTAAATATGCATGACAGTAAAAAGAAAACACTGAACATGAACATAAATCCCCCTTAGATGCCATACAGCCGTGCAGCTGAACGGTGGGCACTGAGACAGCATCTCCAGGCTGAGTCACATCCACGCTGTGCATCGTGCTGCTTCCCACCAAGGGAACGGCTGCAAAGGTTGACTGGAAGAGCAGGAGGAGCTCCAGCCCCTCCAACAGCCCAGTGCCCAGATCCCTGGTGCTGGCAGCCTCCTTGGGGGCTCTGCCAATGGTCCTCATGCTCCTGCATCCTCCCAGGGCTGCACCCACCCCAGTGCTGCCATGGCTCCTGGTTGAAGGAGAGGCCTAAAATGGACACAGCTGAGGTCTTTTCTTGCTGTTGGAAGTCAACACGCTGCTGTGAGCTCCCAGTCTGTGACAAACTCACACTCAGACGATCATTTCACAATCACTGTTACTCAGAGCCTCCACCAAGAGCACCCAGCTCTGTATGGCCAATCTGAGGTCACTCCTTTTGCATTCTAATTGACCACAGGAGCATTCCCCTTTGCTGTTACCATTACCATACAGAGAAGAGGGAATTAATGGCCACCAGCCCACATGGAATTTATTGTTTTTTACATGACAGTACCTTTCTCTTTCACCTTTGCAGCCATCACCTCTGGTCACTCCTTCCCACCTTCGCTCTCCGTGAGTGTGCAGAGTTACAGCTGTGATGGAAAGCAGTCCTACATGGAAACAGAAGGGAAGGGAGTATGGGCTCTGATTGGAAAAGCACGCACACATGTGCATGGAGCAGGCAGGGAGGTGATAAACCCCACCTATCTGTGAGGAAGGAAGGACTTCGTTAAGCACAAAAAGGAAAAATACAGATATTGACCCAGTCCTCCCCCCACCAAGCTTGGTCTCCACCAAGCCTGCAGCTATAGGAAGAGCTGCCTTCTGACCTTGCCAGACATGTGCAGCACCTTCTGCCTCGCTGAGTATTTTTCATTTTGGAAAAAATTAACAAAAAAAATAATGATAATGAGAACCCTCTGTGGCTTTCTCAGCTCCGCTGCAAGGAATGGGATCCAGACAAACCGCTGGAGGGGAGGAAGGCTTTTGGATTCTGTGTTTTATTTTATTAGGTGTAAGTGAGTTATTTTGATTATGTTGGCAAGAAGTGGGAATAAAAAAGCCTTATGTACAGCAGCGCTGTCCCCTCTCAACCCACCTCCCCATGCACACGTGCACTGCTCAGCAGCCACTGCCATGCAGCTTGGCCAGCAATGGCCCAGGGAGGCAAACTGACAGCCATGCCTCTGCATCCTGCAGTGCTCTGCTTTGCTGGGAGGCAGAAATGCTTTAAATTGAGTGGACTGGGCGGGGGAAGGGTTGTTGTTGTTTGAAACTGAAGCACGGAGGTAGGGAAGGAACAACAACACGTGCAAAGCCTCCAAGTTTTTTCCCCCCAGCGCTGGGCATTGCACTCAGGGGATTTCCCATGAATGAGTGGCATTCCTTTCAAGCTGCCACGGAGCTCTCTGTGTGTGGTGACATCGTGGCTGAGCTGCAGCACAGTGACAATTGATGGGCAGCATCTGCCAGGCCTGAGGCCCCAGGGAAATCAGTGCTCCTTCCTGACACCTCTTACCTGTCGGCAGAGGGAGCGGGCTCCATCCTCTGCCCCTGAGCTTTGTGCGATCCTCACATCAGTCCTCCTGCTCACCAGTTCCCTGATCTGCAAAACATTCAGTGAGGTCACTGCCAGCTGGGACTTTACAACCACGGCCACATTTTACGCTGTGGCCAATCGGAGCTAAATGGAGACACCAGGCTTGGATGCTTCAGCTTAAAAACATGGGAGGAAATAAAAAGCTGTCTCTCCTTCAGCACTGTCAGCGCAAGGAGCAGATGCCTGAGATGTGAAGTACAATGCTGGGATAATTCAAAATACTTCACATTCTTTACGGCTGACATTGTACCCCCCCAGTGCAGGTCTCCCAGTGCAGCCAAAAGCAGGCAGCACGCTTTGCAAGTCTGATGCTGAGCAAACATTTAAATGGGAAACACGAGAGGCAGATCCAAGGCCATTCAGAATTGCATTAAAGCATATCAGGGCTCCAGCTGCCTGTGTAGCAGCAGCATCATCCTCCCGGGCACACTCCCTATGACACGGATGTCTGTGTGGTCCAGAATGCCAGCAGGCTCCTCCCCTACCAGAGAAATCAGGGAAATCTGAGATCCGCTGTCTCCATGCTGCCAGGAAGGACCCAGAGCATGCCACAGAGTTTAAGTCATTTACAACCTAATCTGTGCAAAGATCTCAGTGACTGACCTGACTGCCTGCATGGGAGGGTGGTCCTGCGTGGTTGCTTGCGTGCGTACACATGTACGTTCATGCATACATACATATACATACATGAACATGAGGAACAGTTGGAACGAGCAGCAATTAAAATGAACATAAAAGCCGATCAGAGGCAAATACCTGTCTGCCAGTCCCTCCTTGCCAAGCTGGAGCTGGAACCATTCAACGAGGGAAGACAGGAGCACTGCAGATCAGACAGGGTTTATTTTTACCTTCAGTTTTGCCTTCTTTTCTAAGGGGACTTAGAAGCACTTACTGCACGTGTGCTTAGGACAGCCCCTCATTCCCCCATCCCCTGTGGCTCTCAGCCTGCAGCACTGCTCCCCCTGACCTGGGGAAAGGCACACAACTGTTTCCCCATAGCGAAGCCAATAACTGAGAGAGGAATTTGTCAGCATCTGCCTTGCTTGTTGGTGTCGCAGGAGCAACCTGGATGGCTCTGGCAGTGTGCATAGAGCCAAACCAGAATGCCATGCTGGCATAGCCTCTGTCCTCAGCACAGACCTGGGGAAGGGAGCACAACAAGGGACGAATAAACACTGTGTGCAGGGATGAATTCTTCCCATGGAGCTCCAGACACATAACTCAGCCTCGTTCCTGTTGGAATGAATGGCAGAACGTTGCTACAGGCAATGTTACATGGAGCAGGAGACCCGGAGCTCCCCGCAGAGCATGGAGAGGAAGGTCAGGCTTCCTCCCCCCCGACCTGCATCCTGCCTGAGGGGTCTCGTGCTCCCAGCACAGCTGTGAGCTGCTGAACGTGCTGCTCCAGAGCAGGGCTGCACCCAGGGGACAAAGCAGCGCCTGGTGCAGGAATGGGGGTATGGAGATCTCTGCACGAGATGGAAATTTCTGAAGTGCAACTGAGCCTCCATCATCCTCTGGGATGCAACAGGAGAAAACAACACACAACTTTTGCTTTGTGTGCCCCCCCCCCCCCGCAAAGTGTTCATCCTCACCCAGGGACAGCTTGGGTGCAGTGATGGGGATAGGGCCAGGCTCTCAGCTCCCCTTGCTGGATATTGGGAAGGGCTGCAAGGGAAAGAACACTGGGAGTTGGAATACCTTAGGCTTCACCCAAACCTGCCTGCCCACAAAGGGAGGTTTCACGCATTAAGATGTTTGTGGCAGGCGGTCAGGCAGCACTTGGGCTTTTCACTCAGCCCTCCTAACAGAGATGAGCTTCTCAAGGATGATGGAAAACGATGGTACAGGGGACACCTCCAGTGCCTGGCTGTGCTGTAACACTTCCACAAGAGAGCAGAGGGAAGGCATCAGTTTAAGAGCAGAAAACCAGCCGTTCCACTGACAGTGCCCACTCTGCACCTCCCAGCCCACCTGCCCTTGTGCACACACTGCAGGAGCATGTTTGCAGCTAACAAAACTCTTCCGTGCTGTCTGAAGGCCCTGGGGTTTACCTTCTGCTCAAGTGCTGCTTGAGCTGAAACACGTTTATTAAGAAGGGATGGAAACTGCAGCAAGAGCCGAGCATTCAGCAGCTGTCGCAGCCAGCAGCAAGCTCCTTGGGGTGTGCAGTGCTGCATTTTACTTTCCCTGAGCTGAAAGAGCAGTGATGGAAGTCCATTTATAGAACAAACCTTCCTGCCTTCAGACCCTACACCAGGTCAAGTTCGAAGCAAAGTGCTCTTCTTTCCCCATCTCTGCAGACAGAGCCCTAACCCAGGCTGTGCACTGCCTCCAGAGCCTGGAGCTCAGCTCCCAGCAATGGCAGCAGCAGTGCCTCACCCTGCTCTCATCTGTCAGGACAGGGATCAAGGGGCTCGCTTGCTGTATGACCTGTGGGGGCAAGGCACTTGACCTCCAGATGCAAGTCAGCCAATGGAGCTCAAGCAGCAGCAGAAAAAAACCCAAACAGCATCAAGGAGCCCTTTAGAAAAGCAATGTTGAGCTGGAGCAGTGTTTTCCAAGGAAGAGAAGCTACCAGCACATGCAGGGCGCAGCTCCCTTACTGCAGAGCACAGTGATGACATCAGCTCTCTGTACGGCCACTTGTCCCCATCCCACACTGGAAAAACACTTCATTTTTTTGTCTCTCAGGTTCAGTATCAGTTCAAGCATACGTGGTTTCAACCACATTCAGCAACCTTTAAGCAGGCAACGGTCAGAACCAGCAGTGAGGCCGGGCCAGCACCAAGCACAGCACTCCCGCCTGCTGTCAACAAGAGGCATTTCTCTGCTGCAGACCAAGCCCAAGGGGTTTGTGTTCTCGATGCTTCTCTGTGTGATGGAAATCAGCTACCTACACGCTGGTATTTTATTGGAACCTCTTTAACCACCAGGCATTTCTTCTCAAGAGCAAGCACTTCGGTGAATGAGACACAGATCACCGAGGGCTGCCTGCCTGGGGAGCAGTGTGGGAAGGGGAGCACCCTAGTGCTCCCTGGACACCTTGGTGTCTTTCAGATCCGCCTTGCAGCACACTGCATGCCAAGCAGCCCAGCTGCTGGCTGAAGGAGGAGGCAGCAAGGTGATGGCTCTTCCTAGGAAATGGAAACGGTGCGGGAAGAGTGATGGAGCTGCTGGCTGACCCAGCCTGCAGTGAGCATGATAACTCACCGTGCATGGACAGGACTCATCTTGCTACTGCAAGGACTGATTTCCTTACTCCACCATCTGGCCTGAGTGCAATGAGCCTGCTCAGGTTCTCAGAGCTGCTGCAGGCGGTGCTCGTTACACACCAGGGAGCAGTAAGTTCAGTGCTGTACTGCTGCAGAGCACGTAGGGGTGGTCTGCACCAGCAGAGCCACTTCTCATCCACACACAGGCCAGGCAGAGGGCTGGAAATAAGGGCCATGTGTTTTTCAACTTACATTCTAAAATGCTCCTGAAGGACGAGCAGCATCTCACCACGGCTTCAGTGGGTCTCAGCATCAGCGCTGTGGGTCTTTCATTTCTGCACAGCCATCCTGCCCTTATATTTTAGCAGAAATACAAACTGTGGCACCATGCAAGGACTCGCAGCAATGTGGGCCTTGACTAACGTATGGCACAGCAAGGACATCTGTCTGCAGGGGAAGGAGGGCACGAGGCCACTGCAGCAGAGAGATGCTGTGTGTGCTGGCAGCATCATCAGCTGAAGGAGAAGAATTTCTGTACCAGAAAATGTCAGTGAGTTTGAACTAAATTTGAACAGGAACATTTCACTGGAACAGGTTGCCCAAAGAGGCTGTGGATGCCCCATCCCTGCAGGCATTCAAGGCCAGGCTGGATGTGGCTCTGGGCAGCCTGGTCTGGTGGCTGGCGACCCTGCACACAGCAGAGGGTTGGAACTGGATGAGATTGCGGTGCTTTTCAACCCAGCCACTCTATGATTCTAGGATTCTACGACTGAAGCAACAGCTCAGGTGAAAGAAAAGCAGGGTGTAACTCCAGCACAGAAACCAGAGGAGCGAAGGAGCTCAGAGCACTGCTTGCACCTTCGCTGCCTACAGAACGAGTGGGGAAAGGTCCTCACTGTGCTCCAGAGCCCAGCTCCTCCCCTCCAGGAGTTCTGATAAGGAGACCTGTTGAGGTGGGGATATTTATGAGCAGCCCTTTGTTTCTATTGCAATTAACGGGAGAGGTTCACACCTACAGCCAGAATTAGAAATTCAAAGGAAGAAATCAATCAGTAACAGGTGCACATTCACCCAGGCATTTAAAGAAGAGGCCCACCAGACAGAGCCCTGCTATGCCCTGACATCCAAGCATTTTGCTCACGTGCCTCCCCTATCCTTTTCCATTCACCAGACTTTCACCATCCCCACGGATGAAGCTCCATGCTGCTCCAGCATCAGAAATATCACGGCCATCCGTACTGTTTTTACATTTGCTTTGAGCAGCTACATGCGCTGTTATTAATCTTCCTGCCTCGCAGACGGTGCCTTTAGACCACCTGTGCTCTCTGGCTTTGCCCCCACAACACTGCCCAGCCTGGGATGCATCCCAGCCCCTCTGCCCTGAGCCTTTCACTTCGTTTGAGGGAATCAAAGCTGAATGTCATCCCTGTCTGTGCAGGTCAGGTGTTGGCTGGGGGCCCACGGCACCCATTAATCAATGCTTGCACTGATTGCATGGTAATGCTGGGGGGATGTGGGAAGGGGGTGGGGAGGTGCAACGATACACCTGGAAAATACCCTTCCAGATGGGATCTCAGAATGGGACGTCTGGGCAAAACCCATCCAAGTAGGGGGTGCCTGATTTCCATCAGCCTTTCTTTGGGCCCCCAAGGACTGAAAGCAGAAAACAAAACGCAGAGAAACAACACCAAAAAGCATCAAAGCAAGAAAGGCATCGGCATCTCCAAAAACAAAACAGAAAAAAAAAAAACCAAAAGGAAAAGAAGGGTGGGGAAACCTCCTCAGC